GCAGCGACGGCAAGACACGCGGGAGACCTAAGACAAGACGCTGACGAGACATAGCGCGAAGACGAGGAGGAGAAGGGTGCCCCAGCCGGTGGTGCCACAAAACGGTGGGGTGGGCAAGCGACCGACAGGAGCACGACGCAGCGACCGGACTAGACGGAGGAACCTGACAAGACACAGCTACCTGGGGGGACGGAGCAACCTGGTGAGACGCGAGGACTCGAACGGGAGGCAAAACAGGGGCCGGGGGCAGGAGGGGCGGCTGTGGCTGCGGCTGCGGCTGCTGCCGCTGCTGCTGCTGCTGCGGCTGCTGCTGCTGCGGCTGCTGCTGCTGCTGCTGCTGGCTGCTGCTGCTGCTGCAGTCGCTGCTGAGCGCGCGGGCCAGTGTGAAGAGTGTAGAGACCGGAGCCCGGCTCAGCAGCAAAAGTGGCGAGGGGCTGGTAAGAGTCCCCGTCAACACACACCGCAGTCTCTCCAGAAGGCTCAAACCACACACCCACGTGCTGACTCACGAGGGGTCGCACGCCCACCAAGTTCCGGGAGAACGAGGGGACGTGAAACCCAGTGAGAGACCCAGAAGGAGCAGCCGGACACGGCAAGGTGGTAGTGTGACGCGCGGTGACTGGTCCCGAAGTGGGATCAGCCAGCGCCACAGAAACAGGCGCAGGAAGAGGCGTAAGTGTCGTGCTGTCACGAAAGAAGCAGTGAGAGGCTCCAGAGTCCAGCGTGAACGACAGCGAACCGTCCTCTGAGGTAGCCGCTGGACTAGAGTCTACACATGAACCTACACTAGCAACAGGCAACTGAGCAAGGCTAGCACCTAAGCTAACAACACCAGAGTAAACAGAGTCAGAAACACTAGAGTCAACAACAGCATACATAGCATGGGGACGACCAATCAGATCAACTAACTGCTCAGCAGACATGCCCCACAGAGCGGAGCCGTAACGCTGAACAAGAGGCAGCCAGTCAGGGGCAGGAGCACCAACCCCGTAGACCAAACGAACCGTGTCAGTGAGCTGAGCAAAGCACTGACCAAGGGGGTGAAACCGGCCACAAGGGTGGCCACGACGAGTGCCTGTCAGAACCTGGTAGGTGCAGGGAGTGTAAGCAGCACCGCGCTGGGTCTGACGCAGCCCCGACCCTGGAGCCAGCTGCTGCCGCTGCTGCTGCTGAGGCTGCTGGGAGGAGAGGGGCTGCTGCTGCTGCAGAAGCTGCTGCTGACGCTGAGCCTGGTACCACGCCGCTGCTCCACCAACCGGGGCAGGAAGTACAGGAGGCGACTGACGAACTCGGGCGTCGCCACCACCAGCAGGCGCAGTGGAGTCACCAGTCACTGCACGAGGCGCCTCTCCAGGCCCTGAACCTCCACCGCCGCCAGGCGCAACGCCACCTCCACTACCTCCGCCTCCACCTCCACTACCACCACCAGAACCGCCTTTCTTGCCACTCCTACCGCGGGACCGCGACGCAGTCGTAACAGCAGCTGCAGTCGCGTCAGTAGCGGCAGTGGCAAGTGAGGCAGTAAAGGTGGGTAACTGCGGGACTGTGCACCCGTGGAAGAGTGGGGGGGGCACAGCACCAGAGGCAGCGGCTACCGAGCGAAGGTTGCTCTCGACGTCCTTGAGTGCAGACTCAAGGACCTCGACGGTGAGCTCACTAGGGTGCTTCAGCAGAAGCGCGTCGCGAACGGAGGCAAGGCGGTCAGGGAGGCTAGTGGCGATGAAATAGATAGTGATCGCCATAGGGGGAGGAAGCAGTGCAAGCTGTGCCTCAGTGCAAGCAGCGCGGTAACTAGCGTCGAGCGAGCGGAGGTGAGCGATCAAGTCAGCAGAGCGCTCAAAAGACGCTAGGTCAGGAAACAGGAATGGGAGGAACAGGCGGCCAAGAGAGACAGCAGCGGGAGTAGAGTAGCGGGCCTTAATCGCAGTGAGGTACTCAGCAGCGGTGCGAACCTGAGTGAAGTGAACCTCCTCAGACTCAGGGAGGAGGCTGCTGAGCGCGATGCAGGCCGCAGCGTCACGTGACTTCCAAGCCGTCTGGTCAGCTCGCTGAGTGGCAAAGCGGGCTCTAGCGGCGTCATCAGGGGCAGGTCCTAAAGGCGTAGGGTCGGAGGGCGCAGGTAGGGCACCAGTAGCGTGCGCCCAGAGGGTCTCGCCTGCCTGGACCTGACTCTCTAACAGACGGCGAGCACGAAGAAGCCAGACGGAAAAATCAAGAGGTCTACCGTCAGCGTCGAAACGAAGGACGCGAGGGGTCGCCATAGTGTGCAAACGGAATTGGCAGGGAAAGCAGGGTGCAGCGGCAAGGGGGAACGGGCAGGAAGAGCGGGCAAGAGCGGGCGGGTAGGTAAGGTGTGGCGGGCGTCTAGGGTAGGAGCGCGCGGGCTAGGGCAGGAGCGCGCGGGCGGGTAGGGCAAAGGCGCCGGGCCAGGGCGACGGGCTGGGGCGCGGGCCTGGGCGACGGGCTGGGTCGCGGGCCTGGGCGACGGGCTAGGGCGCGAGCAGGGGGAACCGCGGGTCGACAGGCAGCGGGGGGAAGCGCGGGTCGACGGGCAGCGGGGGGAAGCGCGGGTCGACGGGCAGCGGGGGGAAGCGCGGGTCGACGGGCAGCGGGGGGAAGCGCGGGTCGACGGGCAGCGGGGGGAAGCGCGGGTCGACGGGCAGCGGGGGGAAGCGCGGGTCGACGGGCAGCGGGGGGAAGCGCGGGTCGACGGGCAGCGGGGGGAAGCGCGGGTCGACGGGCAGCGGGGGGAAGCGCGGGTCGACGGGCAGCGGGGGGAAGCGCGGGTCGACGGGCAGCGGGGGGAAGCGCGGGTCGACGGGCAGCGGGGGGAAGCTCGGTTCGACGGGCAGCGGGGGGGGGGGGGGGGGGGGGGGGGGGGGGGGGGGGGGGGGGGGGGGGGGAAGCGCGGTTCGACGGCAGCGGGGGGGGAAAGCGCAGCGCGACCTGCAGCGGTACGCTAGATCGGGCTACGCTAGATCGGGAGGAAGAACGAGCGGTAACGAACGAACGGGACTAGATCGGGCCGGCACTAGGCTCGGGCAAGACGGGCGAAACGAGAGCTAGGATCAGGCTCGGGTGGTACGATCGGAGAACGGAGAAACGGGATCCCACAGGATCCTAACCTAACTGATACCATGTCAGAATGAGGAATGGATGATGCATTGTTGTTGGTTGGGGTACATATAGCTAACCCTAAGTTTTGTACCCCCTAAGACAAACCTCACTATAGGCTACAACATTTGACACTGCTTTCAGCGAGGATGCAGCAGTATGCAATTGTTGACTGGGGAAGATGATGTTTACTAGGTGTCACTGCAAAGCTTACTAAACAAATCCAAATTCAAATGCCAAGTAGAAACTACAGATGATTAGCTATCCTTGAAATTTTGATGGGTGTCAATTCAGCAATTGATGACCCCTGCACAGCAGCAGCCAGAAACACTACTATTTTGATTCCAGCACGAACATCTAGCGAGAGTGCTTTTACACACAAGACTGCTCAAGACTGCTCAAGACTGCTCTGGACTGCTCAAGACTGCTCTGCTCAAGACTGCTCTGCTCAAGACTGCTCTGCTCAAGACTGTGCTGCTCTTCGCTGCGCTGCTCTTCGCTGCGCTGCTCTTCGCTGCTCTGCTCTGCTCTGCTCTGCTCTGCTCTGCTCTGCTCTGCTCTGCTCTGCTCTGCTCTGCTCTGCTCTGCTCTGCTCTGCTCTGCTCTGCGCTGCGCTGCGCTGCGCTGCGCTGCGCTGCGCTGCTCTGCGCTGCTCTGCGCTGCCCTGCGCTGCCCTGCGCTGCCCTGCGCTGCCCTGCGCTGCCCTGCGCTGCCCTGCTCTGCGCTGCTCTGCGCTGCTCTGCGCTGCTCTGCGCTGCGCTGCTCTGCGCTGCGCTGCTCTGCGCTGCTCTGCGCTGCTCTGCGCTGCGCTGCGCTGCGCTGCTCTGCTCTGCGCTGCGCTGCTCTGCTCTGCACTGCTCTGCTCTGCTCTGCTCTGCTCTGCTCTGCTCTGCTCTGCTCTGCTCTGCTCTGCTCTGCTCTGCTCTGCTCTGCTCTGCTCTGCTCTGCTCTGCTCTGCTCTGCTCTGCTCTGCTCTGCTCTGCTCTGCTCTGCTCTGCTCTGCTCTGCTCTGCTCTGCTCTGCTCTGCTCTGCTCTGCTCTGCTCTGCTCTGCTCTGCTCTGCTCTGCTCTGCTCTGCTCTGCTCTGCTCTGCTCTGCTCTGCTCTGCTCTGCTCTGCTCTGCTCTGCTCTGCGCTGCGCTGCGCTGCGCTGCGCTGCGCTTCTCTGCGCTGCGGTTCTCTGCGCTGCGCTGCGCTGCGCTTCTCTGCGCTGCGCTGCGCTGCGCTGCGCTGCGCTGCGCTGCGCTGCGCTGCGCTGCGCTGCGCTGCTCTGCTCTGCTCTGCTCTGCTCTGCTCTGCTCTGCTCTGCTCTGCTCTGCTCTGCTCTGCTCTGCTCTGCTCTGCTCTGCTCTGCTCTGCTCTGCTCTGCTCTGCTCTGCTCTGCTCTGCTCTGCTCTGCTCTGCTCTGCTCTGCTCTGCTCTGCTCTAGAAGCAATCAACACTTCTTGGCTATATATACCGTACATGCAGGCAGTAGTGCTGTGCTGAGTCCGCTACGTAAAAAGAAAAAAAAGGGAACGCCGGCCGACAGTGGTATGGAACCACACTGTACAGGCGCTAACAGTGCCAATACGATTGCATTAAGGGTGGTTAAAGCCAGGGCACTTTGCAGAAAGGATGCATTGTGGAGGGAGAGCCGCCGACGCTCCACTAGGAAAGGAAGTGGCACAGTGGCATGGAACAACGCTGTACAGGCGCTAACAGTGTTGGGTCAATAGGATTGTGGAAAGGGTGGCTAAAACCACGGCACTTGCAGGAAGGATGCGATGTGCAGGGAGAGCCAGCGCTGCTCTGGTAGGAAGTGGCATGGAGCGACACTGTACAGGCACTAACAGTGTTGGATCAGTAGAATGGTAGGAAGGGTGGTGGAACAACGCTGTACAGGCATTAATACCAGGGCACGTGAAGGAAGGATGCGATGTGCAGGGAGAGCCAGCGCTGCTCTGGCAGCGACAAGTGATAGCCGAAGGAGAGAGTCCTGCCGCCCGCCATGGTGAGCTGGCAGAACGTGGTTGGTCGAGAGCGGTACCAGTAGTATTGGCCCTCGCCCTCGTAATCGTAACTGTATTGGTCCTGCAAGGCGAGGAGTTGGATGGGATAGAGAGAATGACAAGATAAGGGCCTGCATGGCGTAGTTTGTTTCCTTGCGTGCATAAACAGCAAAGAGATCATACCACGGTGAAGTTGACTCCAGCGCAGCTGATGAGAGTAGTGCTTGCCTTGAGCAGGCCACAGCAAGGCAGAGTCTTTTTTGAGTCGACTCAAAAGTCACCTCGTTTTGAGTCGACTCAAAAGTCACCTCGTTTTGAGTCGACTCAAAAGTCACCTCGTTTTGAGTCGACTCAAAAGTCACCTCGTTTTGAGTCGACTCAAAAGTCACCTCGTTTTGAGTCGACTCAAAAGTCACCTCGTTTTGAGTCGACTCAAAAGTCACCTCAAAAACAGCAAAGAGATCAGATCATACCACAGTGAAGTTGACTCCAGCGCCTTGGATGCGATCAGTGGTTGCCGTGTACAGGCCACAGCAAGGCAGAGTCATCCCGTTCACCGTTCGACGAATGGTCAGCTGACACGTGGCGGAGTCAACAGTCACTGTTTCGACCATGATGTGTGGCAGTAGCAAGGCGACGAGCAGCCTGGTGGGGACAAGGAGGGGAGGAGGAGAACGGGAAGGGGGAGGGGGAGAATTGGAAGGGGGAGGGGGGCGCGTGATGATCAGCTGAGAGTATGACAGTCATTGTTTCGCTTATGATGTGCCGCAGTAGCAAGTGGGCCAGCAGGCTGGCGGGGAGGAAGGGGAAGGGGAAGGGGAAGGGGAAGGGAGGGTAAGGGGGAAGTGAGGAGGTGGGGGAAGGTGGCAGTAGTTACCACGGACATTCACACCACGGACACATTACAACATTTTGGCCCATGGTGCCAAAGATAGCACGCGGACGCACAAGAAGGCTGTAAAGCCTGAAAGGAGACACGGCCTGAAATGAATAGAACCCACCCACCAGATAAGCGGAACCCAGATTGGAATAAAGTAGTAAAGGGCGCTGGGGGGAACTCGATAGGATACTACTTTGGCTGAGATGTAGGCGAGACCCGCCATCAGGAACTGTAATGGCAGGGATGGTGTGTGGTGGGAAGGGGAGATGAGGGAGAGGGGTGGGAAAGAGAGGGATCGAGGCAACATGTTTGGTGGTGCTGCTGTGGATGAAAAAAAGGCGACAGCTACCATACAGATCTGCGGTGGCAGCGACGGTGTGTGGTGGGAAGATTGGGTGGGGAGATTGGGAGGAAGAGAATCGGATCGGACTGATTTATTTGAAGGCAGGAAGGGAGGGATTGGGCCAGCATGCTTGCTGCTGCTGTGGATGCCCAAAAGGTGACAAAGACTGTCCAGAACTGCGATGGCATGGATAGTGTGTTGTGGGGAGATTGGAGTGAGAGGAACGGGATGACTTAATTAAAAAGGCGGGACGGGAGGAATTGGGCGAGCATGCTTGCCGCTGCCGTGGATGCCCAAAAGGCGACAAAGACCGTCCAGAACTGAGCGGTTATAGATGGTGACGTGTGGGGGAGTATTTTTGAGTCGACTCAAAAGTCGTCTCATCAGACGGTGACAAAGACCATCCAGAACTGAGCGGTCATGGATGGTAAGGTGTTGGGGGACGAGGGGGGATGGAAAACAGAGGGAGGTGGATGAAGGGGGAGAGAAGGAGAAAGCGGAGGCTTGCAGTGAATGGAAGCAAATGGGGTGTAAAACATTAGGTACGAGCGTAGCATACAAAGCAACAAGATGGTAGTTCTAGGGCAGAGGAGATTCCTGACACGAGCTCAGTTGAGTTTGCTTTTGAGTTTCTAGGGCGGAGAAGTTGCCTTTTTCTAGAGCTCAGTTTCTCAAAAGTAAACTCAACATGGCTGGCGTACAAAGCAACATGGTGGTGGTTCTAGGGCAGAGAAGATGCCTCACACGAGCTCACCAGGACGAAAAGGGCTCCTAGGGAGAAGCGTTGGGGAGCCTTGTTTTGAGTCGACTCAAAAGAAATTGCCTGACACGAGCTCATCAGGACGAAGACAAATCCTGCAAGGGCTCCTAGGGAGAAGCGCTGGGGAGACTTTTGAGTCGACTCAAAAGGGGTTGCCTGACGCGCTCACCAGGACAACGATGATTCCAAAAAGGGTTGCAAGGGAGAAGCGCTGGGGAGGGATGGTGAAGCGGAGGAGCGTGGGCGAGCGAGAGACTAGTACTTCCGTGCCCACGGGCTGAACAAGGCCAGGATACACGATTGGCGTTCTCTCTGTCACGCCTCCTGCTGCCCCTCCTGCTGTCCCCCCTGCTGCCCACCTTGCTGCTCCCCCTGCTGCCCCCCCTTTTTCTGCCGGCCCCCTGCTGCTTCAGTAGGATCAGCGGCAGCATTAGCAATGCCAACGGCTACAGCAGCAGGAGGAGGAGGAGCAGGACGGCGATTCGGCGGAATAAGACGATGAGGATTGAAAGAGGAGTAGGAGGAGGTGGGGGTGGCGAGGAGAGGAGCGTGATGCGAGCTTTGGCCTTGGCCGCTCATTAAATGCTCCTTGTTGAAACTCTAGCCGATGAAGAGAGCAGGAGATGTTGAAAAACAGTAGAGAGAAGAGCGAAGCAAAGCGAAGGGAACAAGGTTTGGAAGACAATCAAGCCAACCTTCATGTCTTCCAACGGAAGCAAGATTCGGCGAACTGGATAGACGATCAAGAAGACCAGAGCGAGCAAAGATACCATCTCGCTCCAATTTTGTATACCTCATACAAAATACAATCGGGAAGGACCAACTTGAGTGCGACGCTCACCATGATGGCGCTTCCACGGCTGAAGCGCCGCTCGGCCTTCCGCAATTCGAGAGCTCGAAAATCCGTGAGTCACACGGAACTTCCGGTGAGATTCGCTCGCAAGCAACTTTCTGAGGTAGGAAGGGGGATGAACGAGAGGAAGGATTGACGAGGAAGAGGGGTTTTACTAAAGAAGAGAACGAGAGAAGATAAGGGCGAATTCAACACAGGGAAGGTTTCGGCGGGAGGTGTCGGCGGGAGGTATCCGCGGGAGGTATCGGCCGCCGATACCCTCCTTTCGCCCCTGCGTCATTTGGCCCGCGTCGATTTCGTTCTGACGCCGTCGCCTAGCGCAGCACGCGAGCGGCGGGAGCCGACCCCCCGCCCGCCCGATAACCCCCAGCTTCGGAGTGACGCGACGTGATCCCTCCTGTCCCATTCTCGCCTAATCGCAAAAACAGGGGGCGCTTCGGGAATAGGCGTGGAGCTTGAGTTTGCATAGGGGCTTGCATGGGGCTTGCGTGGAGCTTGAGTTTGGGTTGCATCTGCGGGAGAGCTGCTGTTAGCGAAATGCCTAGGGTTTCCGTTTGCACTTCCTGTGTTGCATTCGCCCTTGTCGCCCGATCACTGGTTTGAGCAAGAAATTTGAACTTGAAAACGACTGTGTGTAACAAGTTTGAAGGGTGTGTACTACTATTTGATTCAAGAACAAACATTTAGAGTGAACGTTATTACTGCTCTGCTTTAGCACACATGGCAGCAAGCACCAGTCAACACTGTTAAACTGTATTATATTGGTAGGCTGTAGTGGGGTAGCCAATATGGGGTACAACCCCAACTAGGGTTTGCTACTTGTACCCAATTCTTCCATTCAATGCACCATTCTTGCCTAGTTCTTTTGACATGGTATTCAGAGCAGGAGGTCCCTAGGACCTACCGACCGTTTTTTTTAAGGGCCCACCACCGCTCGCATGCGGTTACCACGCTACCCCGTGCCCTAGCCTCGTAGCGCCCTCGTGCGCCCTCGTTAGCGCCCTCGTTAGTGCCCTCGTGCGCCCTCGTTAGTGCCCTCGCGCGCCCTCGTTAGCGCCCTCGTGCGCCTCTCGTTAGCGCCCTCGCGCGCCCTCGCTAGCGCCCTCGCGCGCCCTTGTTAGCGCCCTCGTGCGCCTCTCGTTAGCGCCCTCGCGCGCCCCTCGCAGCGTCGCCCGCCCGCCGAGCCGCCCGCTCGCAGCGTCGCCCGCCCGCCGCGCTGCCCGCTCGCAGCGTCGCCCGCCCGCCCGCTGCCCGCTTGCAGCGTCGCCCGCCCGCCCGCTGCCCGCTTCGCAGCCCGCCCGCCGCGCTGCCCGCTCGCCGCGTCGCCCGCCCGCCGCGCTGCCCGCTTGCAGCGTCGCCCGCCCGCCCGCTGCCCGCTTCGCAGCCCGCCCGCCGCGCTGCCCGCTCGCAGCGTCGCCCGCCCGCCCGCTGCCCGCTTGCAGCGTCGCCCGCCCGCCCGCTGCCCGCTTCGCAGCCCGCCCGCCGCGCTGCCCGCTCGCCGCGTCGCCCGCCCGCCCCGCTGCCCGCTTCGCAGCCCGCCCGCCGCACTTCCCGCCTGCAGCGCCGCCTGCCCACCGCGCTGCCCGCTTCGTAGCCCGCCCCCCGCACTGCCCGCTCGCCGAGTCGCCCGCCCGCCGCGCTTCCCGCCGAGCTACCTACCTGCAGCGCTGCGGCAGCTTCCTTTGCTCAGTCGCACTGTCACTATGGCTTCCATCCGCGTGCTGTCGTTCGATGCTGAGGGCCGCCCTGTGAAGTTCGCCACTTGGCTGGATGACCTGCAGCTGTTCCTTCTGAGCGATAGCAAGGAGCTGTCAAACTATATGTGCTGCATATTGTCTAGGCTGTAGTGGGGTAGCCCATATGGGGTACAACCTAGTTAGGGTTTACTACTTGTACTCCTGCATCCTGTTAGTTCATCCATTCCTGCTGCTAGATTCTAACATGGTTTCAGAGCACTAAGGTCCGTAGGACCGTTTTTTTTCGGGCCCACCTACCGCTGCGGTTACCGCGCTACCCCACGTAGCCTTGCCTTGCCTTGTATGCCTTGCCTTGCCTTGCCTTGCCTGCGCGCTGCCCCTAGAGGCCCGTAAGGCCCGCGCGCCGCCTCTACACGCCTGTCGGGCCCGCACACACGCTGCTACCGCGCGCTGCCCGCACCGAGATCGCGCAGCCCGCCCCGAGTCGCGCGCAGCCCGCTGCAGCCACGCGCAGCCCGCACCGAGCCGCGCGCAGCCCGCTGCAGCCGCGCGCAGCCTGCACCGAGCCGCGCACAGCCCGCTGCAACCGCGCGCAGCCCGCACCGAGCCGCGCGCAGCTCGCAGCTGCCGCGCGCAGCCCGCGCCGAGCCCGCGCAGCCCGCGTCGAGCCGCGCGCGGCCTGCTACGGCCTCGCGCAGCCCGCGCGCGGCCCGCAGCAGCTCGTGCCGAGCCGCGCGAGGCCTGCTCCTGCCTCGCACGGCCCGCGCGCGGCCCGCAACAGCCCGCGCCGAGCCGCGCGCGGCCCGCTACTCCCTAGCGCGGCCGCGCGCGGCCCTTTGCCTCGGCCCCGACCTGCCGCTGATGCGGCCCCGCCCAGCAGCTGCCATGGCCCCGACCTGCCGCTGATGCGGCCCCGCCCTGCAGCTGCCACGACCCCGACCTGCCGCTGACGCGGCCCCACCCTGCTACTGCCGCTGACGCGGCAGCGCCCTCCAGCTGTTTCGGCCCTGCTCTGCAGCCGGTTTTGCGGCCCCGACGTCGCCGCTGTCGTGCGCCTACTCGAGCGCCGGCCCTGCTCTCCCAGCCTTTGGTGAGCGCCTGCCTGCCTGCCTGACGGCCTGCCTGTCTGCCTGCCTGCCTGCCGGCCTGGCTGCCTGCCTGCCTGCCGGCCTGCCTGCCTGCCTGCCTGTCTGCCTGCGTGTCTACTTGCCTGCCTGCCTGCCTGCCTACCTGCCTGCCTGTCTGCCTGCCTGCCTGCCTGCCTGGCTGCCTGCCTACCTGCCGGCCTGCCTGCCTGCCTGCCTGCCTGCTTGCTTGCCTGCCTGCCGCGCCTGCCTTTCCTGCGCTACTGCTACTGGCAGGTGGCCAGATGCAGCTCCAGCGACATTCACGCGAGCCTCTGACGCCTCAGCAGCTTAGTGAGTGGTATACTAGCTGGGGTTGTCGCGGTAGCCGTCGTAGCTGTCGCCCTGGAGCTGGTCAGTTGGGAGCGTCTGGCAGTGGCCAGCTGCAGCTGCAGGGACGTCCACGTGAGACACTTACGCCCCGGCAGCTCCAGGAGTGGTACGCTCAGTGTAGCAGGTCTACGCGTACAGTCCGCTGCCCGTACGTCATTCGCACAGGTGCTAGGACTGGTCAGCCTTGTGGGACGCTTGGTCACACACAGTCCCGCTGCTTCGCCCGTCTGAGCGACGACTGGCGCACAGTGTTTGGCGACGAGGCTGAGCTCCCCACCTGGCTGGAGCTGCATAGACAGAGGGTAGATATCTTTGCGCTTGACTATGATGCTATTCTCACTGCCATGTATGCATTGTCTACTAGTGCTGACCGTGCCTGTTGCCTGTGCGTACCGCCTGACCCTGGTGAGGCTGCTGCCCTAGGTGCTAGTGCGTCTCCTGCTCTAGGTGCTGGTGAGGCTGCTGCTCTCGGTGCTAGTACGTCTACTGCTCTAGGTACTGGTGAGGCCGTGGCATCAGGTGCTGCTGTGTCTGCTCTCTCTGGTACTGCGCCCACTGCGGTCTCGCACACCTTCACCCTTGACTCAGGAGCTTCCCGCTCCTTCTTTCGCGACTGCACCGCACTCACGCCGCTCCGTCGGCCAGTCCCGGTCTCCCTGGCGGACCCCTCTGGGGGTCCAGTCCTTGCCCACTATTCCACGGTTCTGCCGTGTCCGGCCGTCCCGTCCGGCTCGCTGTCAGGTCTTTACCTCCCCTCGTTCTCTACGAACTTGGTGAGTGGAGCTGACCTCCAGGATGGGGGGGTTGACCAGTTCACTCCTGCGAGTCAGCGAGTGACTCACTGTACGTGTGCTAGGACGGGCCGGCACTTGGCCACGTTCACCCGTGCACCTGGCTCGAGTCTGTACACACTGACCACTGAGTCCCCTCAGGTAGCTGCGTCTGCGTTTGCGTCTGCGTCTGGTCAGCTGGCGGCCCCCTGCGAGTGTCGCGCTTTGTCGCACGACACTCTCCTGTGGCACCACCGCCTTGGTCACCCCTCCTTGCCTCGCCTGCGTAGCATGCACTCTCGCTCCCTGGTCTCTGGTCTTCCCAGGTCCCTGCCTGCCCTCCCTCCCTCGCCTGCGCCGCCCTGCATTCCTTGCGTCGAGGGGCGGCAGCGCGCCGCTCCTCACTCCTCCTCGTTTCCTCCCACAGAGGCTCCACTGCAGACGCTCCATCTGGACGTGTGGGGCCCAGCCCGCGTCCAGGGACAGGGCCGCGAGCGGTACTTCCTGCTGGTCGTCGACGACTACACGCGTTACACCACGGTCTTCCCCTTGCAGAGCAAGGGGGACGTCCCTGCTGTTTTGATCCCCTAGATCCGCGCTGTTCGTCTCCAGCTCCGCGAGCGGTTCCGGTCGGACTTTCCTGTCCTGCGTCTGCACTCTGACAGAGGTGGTGAGTTCTCCTCCGACCTCTTGGCAGCCTACTGTGCGGAGCACGGCATCACCCAGTCGTTCATGCTTCCGGCCTCTCCGCAGCAGAATGGGGTTGCTGAGCGCCGCATTGGCTTAGTCATGGAGGTCGCTCGTACCTCCATGATCCATGCGGCTGCCCCCCATTTTCTGTGGCCGTTTGCGGTCCGGTACGCCGCGCATCAGCTCAACCTCTGGCCCCGTGTCTCCTTGCCGGAGACCTCGCCCACACTGCTGTGGACGGGGAAGGTTGGCGATGCGTCGCGTTTCCGGGTCTGGGGTGCTCGTGCCTTTGTCCGCGATACCACCGCGGACAAGCTCTCCGCCCGCGCTGTTCCCTGTGTCTTCCTTGGCTTTGTCCCTGACGCGCCTGGTTGGCAGTTTTACCACCCCACCTCGCGCCGTGTCTTTGCGTCTCAGGACGTCACGTTCGACGAGTCGGTTCCCTTTTACCGTCTCTTCCCCTACCGCACTGCCTCGCTCCCCCCCCCGCCGCTCTTCCTTGCTCCAGGTGCTCCCCAGGTAGACCCCCTCCCCGCTCCCGGTCCTGCTCCTTCAGGTGTTTCTCAGGTAGACCCTCCTCCCTTGACTGCGCCGGTTGAGGTCACTGGTGACTCAGGTCCTCCTGCGAGTGGTCCTGCTCGGGGTGCTGAGCCTGGGGGTGCGGAGCCTGGGGGTGCTGAGTCTGGGGGTACTGAGCCTGAGGGTGCGGAGCTTGAGGGTGTAGAGCCTGGTGGTGCTGAGCCTGCGTGTGAGGGGTCTGGGGGTGCTGAGCTTGGCGGTACTGACGCTGGA